CTACTCCTGCGACTACTACTACTACTACTACTACTACTACTACCGCTGCGCCTACGCCTGCGTATGCTCCTGCTCCCACTCCTGCTCTTGCTGCTCCTGCTCCTGCTCCTCCTCCGGTTATGTTGCTGTTGCTGGGCCACTGTCACTGCTGCAGCTACCGCAGCCCAGGTCTCTTCGGTTATGACCCGTGCCCCCGGGTGCTGGCCATCCGGACTGAGCGGCTTGACGCCGACGCACCCGTATGTGAAAAGGACACGAGGCCTAAGTTGTCGGGGCCCTCCAGTGTGCCAGTTATAGACTGGGGTGGTAGTCGAGGACTTCATAGCTTTGAAGAGTTTTAATCTGACGAACTTCGATCGTGTGGCATAACAACCATGAAAGCTCCAATTTCGGCAAGTTGAAGAAGCTGAATGGCTGTCGTATCTGCCATGCCATTCAAGCCTACATAGACACAACAACCGCAGCACCCTGGATGCCAATCTCTCAGGCCGACTATCCTTAGGGGCCGAGTAGGTAACCTTTAACCCTTTGGTGCTCATAGCCCTACTATTCAAAAGGTTGACCTTTTGTGGGCTAGGGTACCCAGCCAGCCCCTAAGTATCTCGCCTTGACGATATGTGGATATACCAATGTGTATGTAGATCATACATATACACTGACGTACATAAAGAACACAGAAACTTACATACTCATTAGATTTGCGCGCGCTGCCATGTTAGCAGTCTATATCCCTTGCCTTTTCGGCTCGAAAGTGGTGGGGTTTGTTTCTATCCCACCAGCGCGTTTTGCACGTGTAGAAGCTGAACTTGACCTCGTCAAGTCGAGCCTCTTCGCTGCCAGTTTAGGGTTTCTAGGGTTTAGGGTTTAGGGTTTGAAGGTTCAGGGGTTCAGGATTTAGGGGGGGTAAAGCTTGAAGGTTCACAGTTTAGTCGTGGGTTCAGGGTTGGGACCAAATAAACCCTACACCCTGAAACAAGCAGCCGGTAATAGACTTCCAGATATTGATACAAACATGTAAGGTGCTCTCTAAGAAGGTCAAGAACTGCGCCGGGCGCATGCTCTTATCTAAATGTGTTAAATCTCTACATAGTATATACATATATAGGATATGTAGTATGCAAATATACATATATATATATATATACGAATCTATATGTATATACATATATATATATATACATGTGCGTGTGTGTGTGTGTGTGAGTTAGTGTGTGTGTGTGTGTGCATGTGTGGATGTACGCTTGTTGTAACGTATGTGTCAAGGGGACCTTGCTTCACGATTGACCTCGCTTCGTCTTTACCGAAAGCTTCGGGAGTTTGCCACTAGTTGCGTGCTATAGCCATTTGATCCGTTAAAGGAGAGAGACGCTTTGGAGCCACAGGGGTAGTACATTGCATTACTATGCTGTGTTGGCATTCTAGCTGCCAGTAGTTGCTGCTTAGCTTATTGTAATTACTCTTTCTTGATTGCTCTGGCAGCTTCTACCGGGCCTATCGGGTCGCATGACCTTTGTTGCTGCCAAGATTGGCGCCGACGATGCCAGCTGACGCCGATCATCTGAATGAAGAGAATGCGCGCCTGAAGTGCGGGCCTCAGGATGTCAAGTTGCCATCTGCCACCGGGATTCCCGGTTGGGTGTCGCACCTTGCAACAAGCAGCTTTGGCATTGATTTATATAACCAAGGAAAGAGCTCCAGAATCTGCAGCAGCAGCGAGAGAAAGAGAAGAATGAGTTCGAGAGTAAGGCGTGACTGCTTGGAGGACCATGGGACTTAGTAAGTAAGGTTATAAGTTAGTTACCTTAGTTATAACCCTACTTACTAAGTCCCATGATCCGTTAAGTGGGCATCTTTGATGTCTGACAGCTCCGACGTCTCTCTTCCAACATGCCCTGTTTCCGTGTTGCGGCAGATCGCTTCGGAAAGAGAGCTGGGAAAGAGCCACCAGGAGCAGGCCTTGCAAAGGACCCATGTTGCCGTAACACAAATGCATATACATATATATATATACACACACATACATGCACATCTATCTTTATTCACACACACACACATATATATATATGCATATATCATATGTGTGCATATGTATGACTTACCAAATACACTACCCACATTACCTATACTACATATTCACCAAATAAACAATTAGGCAAACGAGAACATAAACCACCACACAGCTACATACACAGGAAAAAATATTTTGTATGTATGTATGTATGTATGTATGTATGTAGGTAGGTAGGTAGGTAGGTAGGTAGGTATGTATGTATGTATGTATGTATACATACTCACTTAATTATGTCAAGAAGCCATCATGACCTGACATTCGGCACGCAGGAATGCATATGAGCCATGAAACTTCAGGACGCATGAGTTGGAGGCCATGAAGAGCAAGATGGTGAAGCTGACCAGGCTTTTGCTCAGGGATACTCGTCGTCCCTTTGCCGCGGTACTACTATTCCAAGTAGGCTGAGCGCGAATTGTGTGAGGCAACATGTTGCCGTTTTTTGCTGGGCTGGTGTTGTCGGCTGCCTGTTGTGCAGGCAGCTGGACGAGGAAGTTCAGAAGCGGGACCAGGCGCTCGCCTTTGTATGGAAGCCCCCCCAAGGTTAATTTCGCGATTAAGGTTGAGGTGAGGTTGAAAAGAAATAGGGTTCAGCGTTCAGGGCCTTTCAGGTTTAGTGTGACTGCTTGCATGTTGTTGGCTACGGGGTTGATAGGGGTGAAGACCCGGGCTGATGGTAACTCCTGGAGCAGTACCTGGCGGGCGATTGCATATCACAGAACGGCTCCCGTCATGAGGAATCTTGGTGGTTTTGAACATGGGGCCATCAGCATCACCATCATCCTCATCCTCATCATCCTCATCCTCCGCATCATCATCATCATCCTCATCGTCGAATCGTCATCGTCGTCATCATGTAACCATCATCATGTCCATAATCGCGATCATCATTGTCATGGGTCACCGTCACCGCGTCATCGCCATCACTGCCGTCGGCAGCATGTGTATCATGAGCACCTAAACCCCGCAAAGTAGGTAAAATAATGGCCCAAGACCTATAAAAGGTTATTATTCTACATATTTTGGGGGTCCAGGCAGCAGTATTTGTTTCGGGTGCCCGTTTGGACCAGGTCTCCGCCGAGTCGCAGCTCCTGGAGAGGAGACTTCAGGACTCGGGCATGGCCCGGTGTAGGGTTTAGGGTTTGGGG